AAAAATCTTCAGCCTGACAAAAATAAATAATTTTAATAAATGATAATTGTTGACAATTTTGGGAAATAAATGGTACCATAAATTTCTCAATATATTTATTTTATTTTACTGATAATGACTTATATCTCTGTGCTGCCAAATATACAGTCTTATGTCAGGCTTAAACTGATCGTGCCGACAATTATTTACAACGCCGCGGTAACAAAATCTAATCACCGATGCACCCTTAACGACTAGATCCTAGATAGTTTCATTCGTCAATGCCTCGTTAAAGCACCTTTTGCGAATACTTTCTATACCCGTTCGCAGGCAGTCCGAACTGATTCGGTTCACTGAGTTTTTTGGCCGACCGACGAACGTGACCCAATCTACTTCGTCCCGTCCAGTTATCATGGTGTAAGTGAACAAATGAAGTGGAAATATTATATATGTGTTAAGTAGAATTCTTTGGTAACGTTACAGTCACTGTCGATCTTTACGATAGTAAAAAATAATAATTTTCAACCGTTTACAGTGTGGCCAATGGAAAACAACGAGTAGTTGTTATTGCTACGGGCATGGCCAAGTACTCTCCACACTCTTACGGCTCGCCCCACCACGCGCGGTAGTCACATTCGTGACAGTGACTCGGCGGGCTATACTATTTAACGCATCCCCACCTATGCCCTGGCTCAGGGCCGTACGCGACACTCAGTTGGCCATGGGGTGGTATTTAATTCTAGAAAAATCGCAATTGAAAATATTTTATTCCGCATAAAAATCGTCGATATAATTCTTATGATAGACGATCAGGTTTGTTCATTTCAATCGAGAGTTCGTTTAAGCTTCGCGTGCTGTGATCTACTTCGTACTTGTTCGCTTCCGTAGATCGTTCAGATTGGGAATTATTTCGTGTCTTCTGGGTATATCAGAGGATCGTCTAGAAAGCTATACGTACTTTTTTTTCCAAAGCGCACGCGAGTTCTCTCTAAAAAGCGTGATTCTTCTTAGATTACGTTCGACGCAGAGGAAAGTGAATACAGTTTTTTTTTTTTCTTTAATACTGACACGTCTCGCTTTAGTACATTCGTTCTCACGCGCAGATTTTTCTCTTCATTCACCAATCGTCGTCGAATTTCGATGGAACGAGATGGTGCAGGCACGTGGACAGCTACTAGAAATTAAGAATTTTCTTTTCTCTTCAATGGTAGAAAATCGCATAGGAATTAGTCAGTATTTATCCAAGGTGGGTCAATAAGAATTGTCGTCGAGGTATGAGTTATTAATTTATTTTATAATCGAGTTAAAAGGGTTTAGAAAAATTGTAAAAGAATGTATTAATTATATCATACATTTGACTGTAGTAAAGATTTATTAATTCAATCAGGTCGATTCAAATGTGGCGTTTATTAATTCGTATATTGAAATAAATGAATGATTAATCATTTTATATGACTATTCTTATTAACTCACTTTGTACTTACACTTCCAGTCATAAGTCTTAGGAGTGAATTACAAAATACGTGATTTCTAATTAGAAAATTACGAAACATTAAATAGAATCAATCGTGATTTCTGAAATCTAAGATTCCAATAAATGTGATCAATTTTTATCTAAACTGTGTTTGGAATTACTACACAAATTTCAAAAATATCGAAAATCTTGAGATTTGCAATATTTATGAATTTTTATTTAACATAAATAATTTATGGACCGATTTGGAAAAATTCTCACGTATAGTACTCGTCCAGTAGTACATCTCCTAATTTTTTCATCAATTTTCATCCACTAGAACCGGAGGAATTAAATCCCAAAGATACCGAAAATCGTGATTCGAGGTGTACCCCTTGGAATCTGGCGATATATGAAAATTCGTCAACTTTGACAATTTTTATTTAATATAAATAATCGATGGATCGATTTGGAAAAATTCTCACGTATAGTACTCGTCTAGTAGTACATCTCCTAATTTTCTCATCAATTTCCATCCACTAGAACCGGAGAAATAAATTCCCAAATATATCGAAAATCGTGATTCAAGGTATACCCCTTAGAATTTTCCAATATTTCAAAATTTTCAAAAAAATTCAAAAAAATTCTGGCACGTACTGCTTGTAAAGTAGAACATCCCTGATTTATTTCAGAATTCTCCACGCATTAGATTTGCAGAAAAAAAATCGAGTAAACATAGTACCTCGAAATTTGACATAAGAGCCTATTAAAATCATATCCAAAATAAAACCAAAATCGAATAGAAGCCAATTAATTTTTATAAACACCCTCAATGCTCTATTTATTAATAAACTCGTGAATAAATCCCAAGACTTACGAACTGCACTTCTAATATATAGACATATTCTCGTGTTCGAAGAGCGCGTATAAAAATCTGCACGCATCGAGTTGCGAATTGACGAATCTACCTGGCATCGATTAAATTGGACGTAATGATTGACAGACATACGTTGTATATATATATGTATGTATATATATATATATCGCTATGCAAGCGGATGAAAATAAATCGTTGGTTATCTATCTATATACTCTGTCTTCTCGTTAACGTATATACCATCCGTTAAACGAAACTTTCAGGCTGCCTCGTCAATCTGTATCCCTAATAATTCATTCTTACTGTCATCCGATTTACGATAGACCGAAAATTCATATAAACGAAACGAGGGTTTCTTACGATTCAAATGAAATTCATCGAACGTCCGCTGAGTCACGAGAATCCGTTTCAATTATACGAAACGGGATCGGTGGCGTTTAAAAAGTTGCAAGAAAATTGTAGGCTGATTTGAAATTCAAAACGATATCGTGACAGGAACTAATTTCAATTTGTGTTTGCGTTTGAAACTCGGCTAAGCTCGTTATTATGTTCGAAATGACGGCGACAATACGAGGAGTTCATATTAGAAACATCTAAAAATACTACCTTTTTATTTTATATAAAAAGACTTGGAGCAACTCTCGAACACCCCCTCTCCAACCCCTCTCGTCGGTCCCCCCTCTGTCTCTCTCTTTTTTTTTAACAATATACAATAAACGTCTATTTAGTTATGTATGTACAATTTGTTTCTCTGCCCTCTCCATGTAACCAACCGATGCAGAAACTCCCCTTAATTCTGCGAGGAACAAGTACAATCCTCAGAAGTTTTCAAATTTTTCTAACAAGAAATATAATTTTTAACAAAGGCCAATTTTTATAGAATTTTTTCAAATGTAATTATTTAAATTCTGAGCCATTTCTTCAATTATTTAATTAATTATAAAAATTATTGATTCAGGTGAATAGTTAAAAACTCGTGAAAAGGGTTGTACGAACTCTGGGGTTGAAGTTCTGTATCGGCGGTGGTAACGATTTCTATAATTTTATACAATCTGCTTTTTGTATTATATATTGTATCTGTTCGAAGGAAATTCCACGTTACCACGGGGTCTCGTGATCGCCGCCCGGGTGATTTACGATCGCATGCCGGATCGCCGTAGTAAAGCGGATCGCGTTCGAAGGAATGGAAGGCATTTTGTAACATTTCTCAGTTCTCGCGCTCTTTATCATTCTAAAAGCTTCCGTGCTCTTCCATCAGCCGAGGGCTACTTATCGCAATTTACCGAATAATCGAAACGGCGATAACGAGGTTTTTCAGAAATCAAGGATTTCTATTAACTTCCACTCTCCATCCCCTCCCTCCGTCGTTACAAGCCGTGCTCGTAAAAAAATGTTCGCTGTTAGTCGACAGTTGCGAGAAATTGTTTTATAATTAACATTGGTTACTCTTTTACAACACAAAATTTCAGACAGACGCTGTGTGATTCTTAATTTCTGCTTCCGGACCTGTTTTTCACTTGAGAATCTTCAGAAGCATCATAGAATGTACCAATTTCTGTTCCCAGGGTCTAAAACTGATGATCAAATCTTCAAATGATAGAAAAACACATCGGGAAGTAAAAATCGTTAACAGAATTTGATATTTACTACAATCGATAATGTAGTTTCCTTCCGGCGATCTGCATTACAAGGAGAATATTTGACAGTGAGTGAATGCACCTTGTTTAACACTGCTGACTGACACTTTCACACTTTATTACCAAATATCGAATAATAATATATTTTTAATAACTCTTCTTACACCGTTTTCAGTTTTTTTTTTTTTTTTTCACGTCGGATTAATAAACGCAACACGTCGATTGTTGTCCAGAACGATTTAGGCCCGCGCGCGCGCGCGCGCGTATTTAATTAACCAAAATTTCATTCGATCTGCACTATGACCTCTTCGACTGTCCAACGTCTGGACTGTTCGGTGAATACAAACCGAGCTTCAGCGTCAGTTCCTTCGGTTTCCTCGGAGCGTTCCTAATTGGGAACGGACTGAACTGGGTCTTAGGACTGGTCACAGTGTTATAATTATTCTCGCCCTTCCCAATGTTGCCCAGACTCAACGAAGATTTCTTGTAACTGCTCGACCCTCTCTCAGGCAGCTCTGTATATTTGCCGATAGTCATTTTGCCAGGGAATTCCGGGTGGGACACGGGTCTCTTAGAGTCCTCAGAGACACCAGGGGACAGTTTCGTGGCATAATGATTAATAATAGACGGTTGCTCTGGGAACTGGCGATTTGGTGACAAAGGATACTCCCTGTGCCTCGGTAAGTACGACCCAGCGTCAGAGACAGTCTCCAAGGGCAACATACTCAAGTGCCTCTCGTAATCCTTTCCGTGGGAATATTCCTTTGGTGACAAAGCCTCGTATTTACGATGGAGTAAATCTGAAGACTCTAAGAAGGACCCAGCAGCGTTCAAGCATCTGTCCTCCTTCGGGTATTTCGTAGGTGTCAACGGGTGTTCACTATTACCGTTACTATAATAAGGAGACTTGCTCGATCTCTCTGCTGGGAGGGACATGTAATCCGTGTCAACGTCCCTCGTTGTATTCTCGTCGTACCTGACTCGAAACTCCAAGGACTCTTTCGCTAGCATTGGACTCTTCAGGTGTAAATCGTACATTTCTGACTTATGATTGATGTACTCGAAAGTGTCTTGTTCGTCGTTGCACTCGAATAGATTGCCACCCTGCTTTGGTGACAGCTTAGGCTTGAAGTCGAACGATTTGTAGGGCTCGTAAGAACTCTTTAATGGCGAGGTGTCATATTGAATTGGCTTCGAGGTGTATCTCAATGGGGGCACGTCTTTATATGGCGATGTGACTGGTACATAGGGAATTGAAGACAATTCCTTCTGAGGGAGCTCCAACACTGGGTCCTCGAGCAAAACCTGTGCCGAGGAGATTTTATCCAACTTGTCCAGTTCTCTGTATATGTCTATGTCGCTTTTCGGCGACGAGTCGTCGACGTACTTCCTTACGTACGGCAAGTTCTCACTGTATTTAGGGAATTTGTCCGGGATTGGTTCCTGCGTTGAATCGCTTCGAGTGTCAATGGAATCGTTTGATGATTTGTAAGAGAACACGTTCGTCGAAATACTGGACACGTCTAAGCCATCGATCTCGCTAACGTTCTGACTGGGAGGTCTTTTGTCCAGGCTCACCATGCTCGATGGCGAGTCCTCGTAGTTGGCTAATAGTTTGGACAATTCCTCGTTTATCTTGCGATCTATCAAAGCCTCCCTCGTGTCTAAGTATTCATGAGATATCACGTCCTCGACGTCCAGCTGGTCCATCTGTTCGGTTTCATCGATCAGGGAAAGTTTCGACAGTTCTTCATTGATCTTGGCGTCGAATTCCGAGACGCTGGTAGCAGTCATGCTGTCGAAATCCTTGAAATTAATCCTCGCTAGCTCTTCGTTAATTTCGTGCTCGTTCAATCCCATCTTTTCTAATATAGGACTGAAGATTTTGGAAATCTCTTCGTTTATAGGACTGATAGTGATTTCTTTCGATATCTCCTCGAGGTCTGGCAGACGTTTTTTAGCCTGGCACGCAAGTATCTTCTGTAATATGGCGGAGTTCTCTTGAATAATTTTTAAAGCTCTGTCACTGTTCCTCCGGCCGTTGTCACTCTTCTTCCTAGGCTTCACTTTCGTCCACACGCCTAATTTCGACTCCCTCCCGTCATCGTCGTCGTCGCTCTTGCTGCAAGCTACAGTCTTTAGGATACTGTCGCTGTTCTCATCGATGTTTATTTTTGGGTACACGACGTATGACCTGTTTTCTCCTGTCACGCTTATGTTCGGAATGTCTAGTCGATGTTTAGAAAAAGTGCTCGCTGAGTTACTGAAAGTGTCTTGCCTCCTGGCTTCCAGACACTTCATGTCTTCCCATATGTAACTACTCTTCTTCGTCAGCATCCCATTGTCCGATGAGCCATCGTTTGCCTTCGCTTCCAAGTGTTTTATGTCCTCCAGAATGTCACTGGATCTCTTCTTCACGATCGAAGTGGCGAACTCGTCAGTAGAAGACGATGATTTCAAGTCAGCGTGTCTTCTACTGTCCAAACTGCTAGAACTTCTCTCTAACAACTTCGATCGATCTCTGTAACGATAGTTCAAGTAATGTTTATCCAGTTTCTCTTGAGGTAACGAAGGAACCACGTCTTTCTCTGATAAAGGATCATCGCCCCCATCGTCAAACACGTATTCATTACTCGATTGATAGAAACTAACGTCGCCACCGTTTCTCAGGCTCATAGAGTCCTCTCTTCTGATGGTGAACTCAGGTTTAATTATGTCATCCTTTCTACACTCCATTTCTTTCGTGTCTGAGGTCTTTAAAGACGAATCGAACTTGGTTTGGTAATTTAAATACTTGTTTGAGTCCCTCGAGCTTGTCGACTTTTGCTCTGGCGAAGTCTCAGTGCTGTCCAGGCTCGATTTCCGTCTAGAGGCGCTGTAGGGAGACGTTGGGGTCTTTTGATTCGGGTGTGCTATCGGGTAGAACGGAGAGGTAGCGCTGCTCAAGTCCATCGACGAGCCGGACACGTCGTCCTGGCCTCGTCTGTTCAGATTCGAGGTATACTTTATCGAGTTGGCACTTATTGGCGATTGGAGGTCAGAACTGAACGACCTCTCGGAAGACTTTAGCTTACCCGGGCTACAAGAGTCACTGGAGCTACTCACGACTAGCTTAGGACTCACGTCGGACTTATTCTTTAATGAATCCATGCTGATGGGTGTCGTATTGTGAGACGTTTCGTATATCCTTATACCGTTCTTGGCACTGTCCTTCGTGGTGTTCGAGTCCGTCGAGCGGACTAGAGTCTTCGAGTCTGAGCTGATCGACGAGCATCCAGATTTGTCGATTGAGAAGTCCCGGGAGTCAGACCTGACCGGAGTCCTGGGACTCACCGTCAGGCTCGACGGCTTCGAGTCTGGCCCCATCGTCTCGCCTGAGCCGAAGGATTTCGTGCTTTCTGGGGTCTTCGGGCTCTTCAAGTCTGAGAATAATTTTGTTTGTATCTTGTCGGAGTAAGTAAATGGTTTTTCCAGGGTCTCTGACTTGTATTGCTCTAGCAGTATGTCTGGTTTGTACGTTTTCTCTATTGCTTCTGGTTTCAAGCTTTCAGGAACGGTGCTCCCATGTATGGTTGGTGTTATACCGAGTTTTCTGTCCACCGTCAGTGGCGAGATGGGAAGATGACCGATATAAGTCTTGCCATAAATCATGCTATCAGTATTTATCGTGTCTGAAGCGTCAATAGTCAAACCTGGGAGGTTTGAGCTTTCGTATGGTTTTGTGTCTAGAGAGAGTCTGCTAGAAAAATCGTAGGACTTGAAACGATCTGAGACTGGTTCAGTTTTCGTATCTAAATCGTAAAGTTTGTCAATGTCAATTGGCTTGCTTTCGTATTTGTTGTATGAGATTGAGAAATCCGAGTAGACGTTTGGAGATTCTTGCTTGATAGGTTCTTTTTCATCCTCAGTAGATGTGATGTCCATGCTCGTTATTTCCGTTGCTGTAACATCTTGTAACGTTGTAATATTTGGTTGTAACGTTGTAACATTCGGTTGTGACGTTGTAATTTCTTCTGTCATATATTTGGACCTGTGCCTCTCGTGTACCAGCACTTCGTCTTCCTTCGAACTGAAGACAGTCGCTTTGTCACTACTGTAACTTAAATAATCGTACTCGTCCAAGGCTAACGATTTCTTAACTGTGGCACTGTCAGACGTGTAATCTACAGAAAAATCAATAGACTTTTCTTTTCCTAATTCCTTCGACGAATCGTCCGATTCTCTCTTCTCCGCACTGAACTTCCGAGGAACCATCGAATTATTGTCATCCTCCGCCGACAGTCGCCTTATCTGATCAGTGATCTTGGCTATCGACATGTCGTTCAAATTCTCTTCGTTAGTTCTCGTGACCTCGACGTCCGTGGGTTCGTTTTTTTTTTCCGGTAACGAAGGGTCGAGACTCTTCTCTGGGGATCCCGGCACCTCTTCGTCCTTCGCCACGACGTACGAATCCGATGCTGAGGTCAGATCTTCGCTGTCGACGTCGCTGAGCCGGTCTGGTTCGTCGCACAATTCTGTCGAGGTGCTGTCACTGTCGCTGTCACCGTTGCTGTACTTCGGCGACGAGAGGTCAGCCTCGAACGGCTGAATCGCTGCCACTGTCGCCTCTGCTACACCTAAAATTTATTTTCAACTTCAGTTAAATTGTATATAAATTTTTAATCAGTTCATAATTGTTATTGAATACTAATGGGTTTTACAAACTCGTATATCAATAAATAAATTAATTAATTAATTATCAATAATGAATATTAAATCGAATTAAGATTTGTATGAAATTAATTCAACCCTTTTATGAATTATTAATAATTTAATATGCCAATAAATTGTCTGGAGTAAAAATCGAGACAAGATTAAATGCAGTCAAATTATTTCAGTCAAATTTAAAACTCGAGCACTGTTCCTGAAGAGAGGACGTTCGAATCAGTCTCAACTATTCGTATTCCAATCAAACGCAAGACGAACAATCGATGAGGTAGGAATTCTACGCCTAGTTTCTGTATTACCTACTGACAGCATGGTTCTGTATTTGTCAAATTTTATTCCAGCCAAACCTGACAGTAGGAAATACTATAATCTACATCGTCGTTATACTATAAATAATGTAATTTAAATTTTATTCCAGCCAAACCTGACAGTAGGAAATACTATAATCTACATCGTCGTTATACTATAAATAATGTAATTAGGAAACACAGTATAAAAGTTTCCTGTATTATCTACAGTAACGATTGATCTCCCATCGGTAATCAAATTTCCATCATAAAAAAAGTGTTGAAAAATACTCTGATCCTTAAATTAAAAAGATTTATATTTACGACTGGTATGACCGCGTGTACCTGAGGCGGTGATAGCTTTCTGCTTCGCCTTCTTGGTATCCTTCCAGTGTAGCGTAACAACGGCTTGCCTGTCCCTTCGATTTTGATTTAAAGCCACGGGCCTGGTCTTGGCCTGCGTAGTAGGAGCGGAAGGCAGGCTCAAGGGCCGATTCTTCCCACTCACCAGCGCATTTTTCCCCACTAAAAGATGATTCATGGCCTGAGAAGCGGGAGGTGGTACCATGGTCTGCCTTGCACATGCAGCTGCGCCAAGAAAAAATAACGTATGTGTCTGTGTATGCATGTATGCGTACAGCCGATCAATTGGCAACGGGCGTACATCCGTTGCTCTCGATCTCTACTACGAACAGGGCCACGATGTCCGCCGTGAAAGCGCGCGGTATCGAAGCGTATGAGGGTATGAGCGTGAATCATCGTACCTTAACAGAACACCGTACGCCTAATTCAAAACGATTAGGTTTAGTAATTACCAGAAAGTATTATGTGCGCCTGTCGTTGACGCTCGCGCAGCTTAGCGTATTGCTGCTTCAGCGTGCTGATGTCCAGGGCTAGTCGCTCTCGGTCGCTGCTGGGTGCCATTGCCTGCAGCGCGCCCAGAGTTTGCGGTAGACGGTCTGTGGACAAGATTTCCTAATGTCAAACAACTCCGTGGCTAATACGGTGTTTAATATGATCGATTACTGCAAGAATGGTCAGTGTGTGTATGATGATGATGGACGTATGGGATAACGGTTGGTGGATTAGGATGTGAGGGTACCTTTCTTCAGCCTCTGTGCCATGCTGAACATCGCAGCAGCTACAGCTAGCCTCTCGTCCTCTTCCGTGTCACTGTCATCGTCATCACTCAGCTTTCTAGCCCAGGGTGTAATGTTGTACCTATGCTTTTCCCTCAATCCCGTCACACCGTGCAGAGGTCCCATGCTGACGATGTTCTGTTATAAATATAAGTCACATGTACAGAGTTTTGTTGTGTTGCTAGGAGCTAAGAGCAATTGGACATTCTGACGAACCTTTATGAGGTTGTTAGTGTCTGTGAACTCTAGCATCTCTCTTGTGAGGACTCCCATTATGCTGTAGAACTCGTCAGCAGACGTTACCGTCATGATACGACTGGAAAATGAAGTATAGGAATAAAATGGATGTCAGAGAGCTAAGAGAAATTGCTATTAGCTCTGGTCACTTACTCTGAGAGTCCTTCCCAAATGGCTAGTGCTGTTCTCAGGAGAATTTCGTCGCCTTCGAGGAATATCAAGTCCCACACTCGCAGAACGGCCTCTTGTGGCAAACAGTGACAGAACAGTGTGAGGAACCATTGCATGGTGAACACATTCGTTAATGGTGGCTCGTAGCTGCTGCCTGAATAGAATTTTTCTGGATAAACATACAGACAGTTATGGGGTTTATACAGCCTCGTTCATAAGTCGTGCGATACAAGCCCATGAATGAACATATGAGTATTCATGAGGTTTTAATGGGTCATCAAATGATTCGAAAACTACTAGCCCAATCATGAATAAAATCCAATTTTCTGTAAATGTATTTTGCAAAAGATGCTAATCTTAATTGAAAAATTGTACATAATTAAAAATTGTTACATAAGAGTTGATCAAAATTGTTGCAGGTCCTTTTATAGTGAATTCTAATATAAAATTGTATAGAAATTATTCATGATTGTTTATTATACGATTTATTATACTCCATCCTTTTTTCACTTATTTGTTATTAATTACTATACTTGCTACTACTTCTAACTACTTCTATTAAACAAAATCTACGATGATTTCTAATATATCAGTAGAATAAAAATATAAATCGACTTCATGAACGAGTTTGTATTTGACTGAAGCGAATAGCCGGGATCAGACAACAGGTTTACCTGTCGCCTTGTCTTTGGCGTCGTTCTGTAACGCCTCCAGGTGTTTCGACAGCTTAGGCAGCCTGGCTCGGAGTAGGTCCCTGAAAACAGCCATGTCCACCGAGAGGCCGCGTAGATTGTCGGCGAAGTAGCCCTCGGGCAGGACACCTTCTATCAAGTAGATCATCACTTTCACCGCGGCGGACTCGGCCCGGTCCATAACCTGGAGAACCAGAGCGGCCAGCACGTTCAGGCCCTGGCAATAACCGACGGACTTGTTCCATCTGGCGAAACCCAGCAACACGCGACGCAGCACCGCCTGATTGTCTCGCCCGGCAGCACCGCAAAATAGGCTGCAGCCCGTCCTGTGCAGATCCTGAAATTCAATTATTATTTATAATATTATCATTTATAATATATACAAATTAAAGTGTACATGAAAACAACATTTCAGACTTTAATAGACTATGTCGACTGTTTTTCTTTTTTCTTTTTTTAAATACGACTATTAATGAGCGTTGGGTACAAGGCAATTTAGATAGGGAGGTAATTTCCCGTCACTTATGTCAATCAGATTTCTAATGCGATCGTTAATAAATACATAAACCCATGAATTATTCATCATTGAATTGTTATCAATGCCCCTAATTTAAATATTACTCAATTCGACTTTCACTCGAGGTTATTTTTCCCGGCAGCAGTCTTTCCAAAACAGACGTAAACCAGTTCCTCTCTCATCTCGTATAGTACGCAAATGTCTCGGTTGACTCTCGCGAGTCCCCTCGTTTCTACTGTGTAATTACAAGCAGTTAAATTTCGATCATCAATCACTTCGACGCCGAGCAATTAAGTGTCGCCTAGAAACCTTCCAATTAATACGAGAAGAAGATGGAGACCTATAACGAACTCCCCCCTCAAACCTCAGCCTTGTTTCCCTTCGCAATTTATGTCAGTCTTACCTAAATTTTAAACCACTTCCATTTCTGTGCAAAGAGTATCTGTTCAGAATTTTTATTAAACAATAAACAATAATTAACTAATAAATTATAATAAAGAACAAACGAAGACGACATATCGAAGTTAGAAGAAATGTCAGCCAGTGTAAAGAGGATGTTTAAGCTTACTTTAACGATTTGTATGCCGAGCTCTTCATCGTCAGGATTACTCCACTCGTTAAAGCAGATCTTCTCAGCTTGCTTCCAGTCCACCCCGCGCTGATCCAGATGACGTTCCGCCAGCGTCAGCCACAGCTATAAAACATTGGAAAACATAATTAAAAAAAAAAAAAAATTAGGAAGGGAATCTTTATCAGGAGTCTGGTCTCACCTTTTTCCGAAATTCCGGCGGTATTCCTCCGGGCAACCTCGCCACCATTTTCATCGCGTCGAGCCATTGTATGAAACCGCTTTCTCCTGGCTGGGGAGTCAGACTAAATCTCATCTTTGTGTCTTCAACTGGAAAATTGCACAATTATTTTAATCAAAAACGAACACCGTTCTGTATCAAATTGAAACAGGATTACGTCTGTGAAACTTATTCTCCAGGAGTCGTTTGTGTCCTGAAATTAATATCTATTCATCTGTAGAGATCAAATGTCACAGGAGTCATTAATTTTT